GATTGGTACATGATGTGTGACCAAGATTTAACTCTTCATTTATAACAATTATTTATTTATATTACTTAATTCTTTTTCTTTATTATTTTAATTATTTAAATATTATTTTGACAATTGACCATTGACTTTGGCGTTGACCGTTGACTTCAGCATTGACCGTTGACTTCTGTCGTTGACTGTTGACTTCTGGCGTTGACTTTTAGCATTGACCGTTGACCCATAGTATGACATTGTGTATGAAGTAAATATGCATATAGTACTATGCACTTAGTAAGAACTAAATATGCATAAGAAATGAATTATATATGTCATCCTTATGAACTAAACATGCACCAATAATATCAACTATGTATGCACTGTTTATGTACTAAATATGCACACTTTACTAACTAAATATGCATCATGAATGAACTAAATATGCAACGAATATATGCAATAAAATATACATTTTATACAATTAAATTAAATATAATAATTAATGATTTTTATTATATAATTAATTTTAATTTTAAATTGAGTAATAACACAAATAAATTGTTATGATTGGATCTAAAATAAAATAGGTATGCACTGTTCATGAACTAAATACGCATTTCGTAAGAACTAAATATGTATCATTAATTAACTAAATATGCATAATAAATTAATTATATAAATATTATTATATATTTAATTTAAAAATAACAAGTATGCATTTCGTATTAACTAAATATCCATCATAAATTACCTAAATATTCATAATAAATTAACTAAATATGCATCATAAATTACTAATATAAAATGCACATTTTATTGCATATTTTCTGTTGCATATTTAGTTCATTCATGATGCATATTTAGTTCATAACAAATGCATATTTAGTTCATAACAGGTGCATACTTAGTTGATATTATTGGGGCAACAACATTTAATATATTGTCTTTTTTTTCCGAAACAATAGAGATATTATATATCAAAACGCACAACAGTGCAAAAAAGCAGCCCAAGGCTGAATAATACAACCCGGAACTACAAACTGGGAGGACGGATCGAATGACCACCTAGAGCCTCGCTAGCCACGCTAGAATATAAACACACGACACACAACTAAAAATAAAACATCAACACACCAACTAAGACCGCTCCCCACAGGAGAATAGATACGCCCCCCATGGGAGAATCAGAACCGGGGCCAACGGCTCAAACCTAAAAAACAAGACAAAAAAAAAAACACAAACACAGACTCAAACCAAAACACAATCCTACAACACAAGACATAAAAAAAAAGGAACTAAAAAAAACACAAACACAAGCCCTTCCCCTGCAACCAAGCAAGCCTGAACCAGCAGTGAACGATCGATACAAGACCAATCCAAGCCAAGAATGTGCTACCGAAACTGCGATCAAGCCTATACAATAGCAGAAACCGAACTCCGAACCAGTCCCCGAATCGACCCATCGACAACTAGAAAGCCAAAACCACCCCACAACGATTCCAATCGATCTCTTCTAACACCACTAGACGAGGCCGATAGAACCTCCCCGCCACCTAACACCACTAGACAAACGGGGAATGAGCAGGAGAAAACGACTCTCTCCGTCCGCCGCAACAAGGAAAGTTGTGGTAGCCAGAGTCTCTCCCCATCCCATGACTCGCACTCCACCCGTCACCACCACGGATATCCAACAACAAGCAGCCC